GAATCACTTAATCCCACCTAGAATAGGTCAAAACAACATAGTATAGAAATTAAAAGAGTGGAAAAAGACCAAAATAACCATGATTTAAGGATGCCTTCCATGGTCCGTTTATCACTCCACGGTCCGTGGCAGTGCTCGTAAATGGAAAGGAAATTCTGAGTTATGAGGGTCAACTCCACGGACTCTTCTGGCCCCGTACAACAACTCGTAAAGATAGGGAATTCTGGGGTTTTGACGTCTTGTTATACAGATCAATCTACAACCCGTGATAGCTTCTATGGTCCGTAGAATGGTCCGTGAACCTTTCTTAGAAATTTTCCAATCTTGAGCTCTAGTCTACGGATCCCATCACAGTCTGTGAATGGGTCTGTACTGAGTATGTAAGATAATGCATGATAAACATGATAACTGAACATGAAGAATTTGTAAAACATGCTGACGCAATGACCAACATAATTATCGATTTTTGACCGAAACATAACATAAACACTAGCTTTGCTGATGCAATCACAAGTACAAGCTTACTCAATCTCATTGCTGATAAAACATCTCATACAAATAATACAAAAGCAATAAATTACTATTACAACAAACACATGACAAATTAATAAGCAAGATAAACAGTAAAATGTAACTGAGTCTCCACACCATCTGTTTGTTGATTTGCAGCTGGAGAAGTCTTGACAGTAGCAAATCCCTTAGCATTTACATACTTTCCAGTACCACCCATAATAGTAAGATGTGATTGAAAAACTCTTAACTCTGTGAACCCCAAAGAAGCTCAAACTATCACTATAACTTCCACTATGAAACATTACTGTAAATGCCATAGTTCTGGCTAGTTCCATCTTCTGAACTAGAAATGTAAAATCCTTGAGATTTTCGAACTACGCCTGAGTTGAGTTCATGACCTTCTGTTAATTCGGTCGTCGATTACTGTCATTGTACCGAACATGAGTTTTTGGAAAGTTACTCCTGATCCTAATTGAGCCATGTTTAGGGCAGGGTATCCGTTACCTCCACCGATGATGTTGTTGTTGTTACCGTTGTTTTGGAGTGTTACACCCTTATTTATTTTTACCCCGCTAGTATGCAACATAAAATTTTATATCTGTATAACGTAATTGATGAAAGCTCCTCATAGAACCACTTGATGTTTAGGATAATCATGCTAGAGAATGCCTTGTATACATAACCTTTAAGCTTTGATTGTACAGGTTTTTATATCATATGGAAGGAAATCTAATGGAGAACTTTTGCTTTCATATGGATTTGTTCCTAAAGAAGGGACCAATCCAAGCGACTCAGTTGAGGTGTCATTGGCACTTAAGAAATCTGACAAATGTTACAAAGAGAAGGTGGAAGCTCTAAAGAAGCATGGATTATCAGCGTGAGTACTTTGGTTATATGGGGTGGTCCACGTGACAGTGAAATAGATACTTGTGGATATATTATTTCTCTAATTTGAGTCATTTCTGAAAAAATGTAGAAACCTTCTCGCTATGGTTTTCTTGTCATAAGTAAAAAAGAAAAAAACAATGATGTTCATAGATTTTGATGTCTTTGTTGTTTATGTTTAAAAACACGAACTTGCAATTTCTTGTTGACTTTGAACAGATCGGAATGTTTTCCAGTACAAGTTACTGGTTGGCCACTGGAGTTGATGGCTTTTGCTTATCTAGTGGTCAGTCCACCTAGCATGAGCAGACAGTTTGAAGAGGTGCGATAAATCTCAACTTTGCAAGTTAGGAAACTTGAAATACATTCTTTAATTGGGAAAGAAAGTCTAAAACCAAGTCTATTACAGATGGCTGCTGCTGCATCAAATAAGGCAACATCAAAGAAAGATATCAAGTATCCAGAAATAGAAGAAGATGCATTGCAATTTATTCTCGATAGTTGTGAATCTAGCATATCAAAGTATTCCAAATTCCTTCAGGTAGTAAATTACTTCTCTCAGTACTACTGTCCTATAATCACACCAACATGGATACCGGCATGTGATGTTGCTTCCTTTAGCCATCATGTGGTCCTAGAGAAAAAGAAACAAGAGAGCTTTTAAAGGGATTGAAAATGATTTTGTATATTTGAGGAGCTTTTTGTTTCTAGTTAGCTTTTGGTGCAGCTAAGGCAATCCTGTTGTATAGAATATGATGTGTCATCTGTAGAGGACCATATTCTTGTGTGTATCCTCAACTTTTTTGTTTATGGCTTGTATACAGGAAGGTTTCCACTAATCACCGTGACATGGGTTGTAGAGATGATATAGAGAAGTGCACTTTTTTTGTCTGCATCTACTGCATGTATAAATTTGTTCCCTTGCATATACCTAAGCTAATATACTATCAGACTTTTTTTTTGATAACCATGGTGTCCGGGACAGCTTTCATGCACCTCGACTAATTCCATGGACACCTATCACATTTCACCAACAACAGGTACCATAACTTTGTCCACCAAGGCTTAGGACAAATGGGAAGAAATCACCTAGTACTTTTTGTCTATGCCGGGATTTGAACCTGAGACCTCATGGTTCTCAATTCACTTCATTGACCAGTAGGCCACACCCTTGGGTGCTTTAACTATCAAATCTTCTTGTGACAGGCAAGTGGAGAAATGGATCTCGATGTGACAAATCCAAAGCAACTAAACAGAAGATTGTTTCTGAAACAGCTAGCAGTTGACCTGTGTACAAGTGAGCGAAGGATACTCTATCGTAGCCAATATGTAAGTACAGACTCTGTTTCACATTCCAAATTTCCAATAACTCTCCATAACATGTAGTTAATTGAACTGTCAGTCTTTGCTTCATTTGCGACAGCTTAATGATCTCACGACGCCATCTTTTAATGAAATATAGGAGGATAGACATATGTTTGCATTCTGCATAAATCCTAACTTGCTGTAATTCAATGTATTGTTTATGCTATCATATAACCTTTATAAACTCAAGAAAGCAGTGAACAAAGGGAGATGAAAGTCTTGCAATGTGATTAATCAATCTTTCTAACCAGTAACCTTAATTCTGAGCTTTTGTGACATGATACCAGATATTGAGGAGAAGATTGAGGGACATAAGGAGTGGAGAATTGAAGGCTCTGAATTTATTTGATGGACTTAAGAACCTTTTTAAATGACTCTTCCTGGATTTTGAAATTGTTTCCAAGAAAGTTTGCCACTGTCTCAATGATCAATCCTACAGCACAAGTTGGAGTTTCCTGAACTCTCTTTCTCTCGGTGTATAATTTGCTATTCTACCTTCCAGCTTAATTAGTTTCAAGATTATTTGTAATCTCCAAACTTTTTGCTTACTGTTATGACCGGTTTGATGTTGCCATGTGTCTCTGAACAATAGCCTTTGTCAAGAGTTTCAAATTTCATATGTGAAGTTCCATGACATTGGCTATATTTCAGTTACAGGGGTTTAAAAGTGGCTATTTGTGAAAGTTTTACCTGTACTTAATCTATTGGCCCGACTAATCCAAGTTCGGCTGCGTAAGGCCTATTTATGGGAAAGCGCTACGCACCCTACCAATGATTTCTCCATTTCTCTAACGTGTTGAGATGGAAGTGTTGCCTACTATATGGTGTTATATTTTTAGAAATATTTCATTTAAAGTCACACTCACACATCTATATTTAATATTTAAATATATCTTTAAAAAATATAACACTACTATATATAATTTCGGGAGGGGAGCATGGGTTCACGTGAACCCGGTGACACCCTCCTGGATACGCCTCTGGCCATAGTCTAGGGGGGATATTTGTGTCTTATCCCTATAATTAAAAAACATAACATATTTATGTGGTGAACTTAAGAACATAACTGAAGTGATCATATTATACATGAGGTATATATTTTTCATCTTTTTACCTTTTGGTTCAATTGTGTGTTCATTTCCCTCTTATCCATAGAAAATGATTGGCTTAAATTTTCTTTGCTTACTTGGCTTTGATAATAATTAGGGAAAGCAGAAAGTTGAACTATTTGGTGGTTGGTACATAGATTAATTATGCAAGCAGTGCATGGATTAGTAACATATGGATTAATAATATAGCGATTAGTAGTACATGATTAGTAATGCAGGATTGCAGGGTATATTTTTTATCAAGTGTTTGGTTCATTGCTTCTCACCTTATCTCGTGTTTGGATTAAAACTATATAAAAAAAATTATTTTCCAATTATACCTTTGAATTATTATGTAATTGGGTCAAGGTAGATAATTGCCGGACAATATTATTTTTTTATAGCCTTCTAACTAGCTAGGAGAAGAATAATTTTATTGTCATGTTTGCTATTTTCTTACTTGAATTATTTGAAGTTAAATAATTGTCATCTTAATAAATTGATCACTCACAAAATGTCCATTTTCAATTTATAAAAGATAGACCAAGTACTATTAAAATAGAAAAGACGGTAAACAATAGTAAAATCGAATAAGCCATCTACACATACATATAAAAACTGCAAGTTGTAGTTTTAAGAGCAACTTTCTCATATAACAAACATAAAAATCATATTTGTATGTTATAGCTATAGTTTGCATAATTGCGCTTCATAGCAAGTTTTATCTTTGCTATGGAGCTTTTGATTTGAATAATTCGCTAGATACTTCCAATTTTATACAAATTGTTCAGTTTTGTATAAATTCATTTATATATTGTAATTTGTATAATTATAAGTGTATAGGACGAAAATATATGTATTTGTATTTGTATTGTTTACATCCCTACTCCATTCAAATAGGGCGAAACGTCGCGGTGACTAAAAAAATGAACAATTGAATCAATTTTAAAAGAATTTTACGAATAAACAAATTTTAAAGGAGTCACCACCTAATTTTAAGAAAAAACTAGAAAACCATTAAGTGATCTACGAAACCATTAGATTATAAGTAAGAGGTTCAAGTTATTTCAAAGGGAAGGTGTTAGGCATCCTTCGAAATCCACAATTGTGGGTCCCGACTGAGTTCATTTTTTCAAATTGAGGAGGAGATAAAAATAATATATAAATAAAACAAACATACAAGATACACAAGTAATAAAATAAAATAATATAAGAAATAACCTAGATTTGTCTACCGTCAATAATATACGATAATGAATCAAAATATTGTTCGAACTTTGTTCAAATAGCTTCAATGGGAAACAACTCCGGGTACCTGTAAAGATACTTCGTAAAAGTGTTAATAATAAATAAATATGAATAAAAATAAATGAATTAAACAATAACTTAAAAAATAAAAATCCGTCTTATTAAAATGGGAGGCCTTGGAAATCGACGGTAATTTCTTCATCGG